ATGAACTTAATTTTCACAATTGAAACACTGTAAGTACTCTTTCAAAATCTATTAAGTGCTTCTCAGATTTTTTTTTTCCCTTTACCATAGTATTAACCAATCACATCCTCACTTTTTCCTTTACAAGCTACAAAAACACAGCATACCAACCTGTAACCTAATCTGTACTAGTCACTTGTTTCCTAACAGGGGCAAGGGCAGATGTTTTAATTACACCACATACTTTGGAAAATGTTGAATACTATTTCAGATGAGAAAAAATACCAATTCAGTTCCAGCCTTGTGTGACCAGTAACACTAAACAGAATGATGGAATTCAAACAGGTTTCTCCTGTTTACCCAGCAGCTCTTAAGCAGAAGGAGGGCTAGTGAGGCTACTCTTACTTTAAAAGAAATAACAACCATGACATTTCAATAATCAGTTATTGGTAAGCAACACTGAACAAACTGCTTACAAAACATGAGCTTTAAATAGTTGCTTAATTAAGTTCAAACTTTTATCAGATACAATAACACCCATCATCTTTTTAAATTACATGCCAAGTGACTGCAATCCAGTCAGTGCTCCAAAAACAATTTAACTGTGCTGCTGCAGGAAAAAAAAAAAAAAAAAAAAAAAAAAAAAAAAAAAAAAAAAGAAAGAAAGCTTTAAATATTCTTCCCAAGCTAAAAACAAAACAAACTAAGTTTAATGCAGCTTCTGGTTTTCACGTTATCAACAACACCACAACTTAGAACAACTCTCATGAGGTTTTTCAAAATTAAGTTTTAGAAGTTCTATAACCTCATTATTATGAGGTAATCATAGATTTGAAAATAAGATTTAAAAATGATTCAAGGTTTTTATCCTAACAAATTCTCATCTCTTAACTTTGCAGTACCAGGCATGGTCTGTACAGAAACACTGTTTGGCTTTTCATTGCATGATCCGATACAAGTGGAAAAAAAGTCATGCTAATGCGCCCAACGACCCTGCATCAAATCTGACAAGTCAGCAAACCCGTAGCTAAACACAGGCTACATTTACATAACCACAAACAACGCAGTCATGCACAAAAGTAACTAGGTAACTTCCAAGGGAGAACTTATCTACAACACTCAAAGCCAGTTCTCCAGTCCTAACTTAAGCAGACATTTTAGGTAAGACGACACTGACATGAAACTGCAGTTTTAAGCACTGAACTATGCAAGCTCACACATATTTTCTTCAGTGAGCACAGTAAGCTGATAGCAACAAACCAGAAAAAGTTATCCTCCTTAACCCCTATCTAGATGTTTTATTATTACAGCTATTCAAGCACAGTCAGCCTACTCGACATCAAATTAGGTTTCTCTCCAAAAGCTAGATGCATGGCTTAACTCATATTTCAGGAAAAGCACACTTCAGTCACCTTCAGCTTAAAGAAGAAGGAATTCCTGATGAATTTTTTGTTCAAACCCTCTGGAAAAAAAGTCTAGGCCACAGGTTAGATCTGCATCCATTCCAATCAATTATCACCTTCTGAGAAGCAACAGGTTCAAGAAAAGAAAGCACTTAAATATAATTACATTACATGGATCTTATTTTATAATTTAGGTATATTTGTTCAAAGTCCGTAGAAAGAGCAAAACCAAAGTAACTCATGAATTTGAGAAGTTCAGAATGCAATTAGAGTTCAAAACGTCTCAATTATTAAAAAAAATAGAGCAAAAAAGATGGTACAACAATTCATTTAACACAACAGGGAAAAGTTATTCTCCCAAAACATGTGTGTGCATGTATTTATGATTCTAACCCAGAATATACAAGTTAATATTAAGAAGTTGAAGTACCAAAAAAAAAAATTCAGGTCACATTTGATGGTGCAAACAATTACAGGAAATACAGCCTATTCCACGTTCAGGAAAAGCCCTCTCTTCCCACAGGTTTGCACTAGGCTGATAAAAACAATCCAGTTTCCTATTTATTATGATGTGCACTTTAAACATCCTCACTAATCCACAAAAGCCTTATTTACACATAAGAAGTTGAAAGCACACATATGCAAAAATATCTGTAATCTAAACAAAACTGTGACTTTCCTCTTTTATTATGAAACAGTTCATTAGCAGAAGTTTCCCTCTATATACTGCTCACACTTATGCCCATCTTAAAAACAAATGCTGTCAAGCTGAGACCATTTACTAAATTAAGCACTATGATTTTCATAGATCAGACATGAGGACAGAGTTCAGAAAGGAAGATGTGTTTTGGATAACAGGAACAGGCCAAAAATGAGATGCACATTCTGAGAACTACTCAGTTTAGACACATCGTTTGTCTAAATCTCTGAGTTCATTTCTGTTTCCTGCTGTGTACAATTACAAGGAGTAATCAACACACAAACCTGTCTGATTTTAGTTTTCAAATGTCAACATGTAAAACAAAAAATTAAAAAGATGTGCATTCTGGTAGAGAAAGTAATCCCATGCTTCTTCTGGGCTCCCAGGTTTGTGGCGTTATTTCTTTAGGCTGATAGAAAATAAATTACAAAGGCTGACAGTCCGACAGTTGTCAGGAACTACTGTACTTCTCAAACATAAACAGAACCTTCAGGAAGATGGCCTACAATAAGCATGGAAACACCACCATCTGAACCACAGAATTCCAAGCAAGCAGCAGCACACCAAACCCACAGTGTCAAGGGGAAACACTAACACTACATGCTTTTACATACAGACAACCAACTCATTCAGACACCTGTCCCTCATACTTTATTTTTTTTTTACTCGTGGATGCAAGGAAATAACTGATGGAAGTGTTAAATATTATACTTTAAAGGCAACGTTCTGAACCTTACAGACTCTTCCAGCAAACTACAAAACTTTGCTGGAGAACGCCAATGCAGCAAACAGCTGAAAGCAGTGAAAAGGGTGCCTTTAGGCAGCCAGGACAACTGTTGCACAGAACAAGCTGCTCTGGCCTCTCAGCTGTGCATCACTATGTCTATCCCACCTATGCAATATCGCCTATATTCACAGGACGTATACAAGTCCATACCAACATCGAAACCCACACAATTCCACAACTATTTCTGTCGTTCTTTGGTATGTGCTCCTGGATGAGTTAATTTTGCTATTCAAGTTCCTAATGGCGTTCAGAGGCCAGTCTCACGCTTCAGAAAAAAATAACTGGCGCCCCTTAGTGTTCAGATTTTGAAGTCTTCAAGCAATTTACTAATTTGCATGAAACATTTTTTTTCAACATTCCAAAAAGTTTTCTGCCTCCACAATACTTCCATCCAACTGCCAACGTAAACAGGAAAAGCAAAAACGCTTAAAGGGATCGCAGAGATATTCTTGAGACTGTTTAGAAACCCAGTTTTTGGTTTATTTTAATGAAGTGCACAAAGAGGAGCTTCGACACAACCCTTAGACAACTTTTTTTCTGAAAGTCCCCACAGCCCTCATGTGGGAATTGAGATATTTCAGAAAACAGATTTCCAGTGCATTTAGTATTTCAAAAAATTAAAATCTCAGAAAATGCCTGGTTTTCAGATATTCCTTTGCGTGTCCTTCTAGTACAGAAAATGTTTTTCTCTCTTCTGTATTTTGAGGGAAAAAAAAAAACAATTTGGGCCTCCTCTGGTCAAGAATATAAAGCTGAAGAGATTCTGGAATCCTGAACTCCAACACCAAATCCCTGTGAGGCTCTTCTGGCTTTGAAAAACAAAAAATGAAGAATTCTTCTCAGTTATGTTTCTTCTCACTGTTTCCTATACTTCTAAGTGTTCTGAAGAGAATGTTTCCTGGGGTGAACAAGAACACACCAAGTTCTACGTAGTTTTGCTTTCCACATCCAGATTTTCTCTGCTGTAACTTCATCTCCCAAAATTCTTGAAAGTAAAACCAGAACCTCCCAATATACCACTTTCATAGTCCTTATTCTTTAGTCGTCCACTTTTTCATGTTGCTCTATTGCTCGTTCTGAAGGCACCATTCCTGACACGCCGTGTTTGCAGCACTACAACCACTATCTATCTGTTTTTCGCAGTCTTGGAGAGGGCGGGGAGTTGTTCTACCAAATATAACCAGCGCCTTCATCTTCCGAGGTCAACAACTTCCCAAAGTTCTGTTATCAAGGAGGATGTCCACAAACAGGAATCCTAACTCGAGATTATGAAACTGGGTAATTTCACGCAAAGGATCTCAAGATGTTGAGGCTGCATAAATAATTCCTAGATTTAGAACGCGTTACAAAGCTACTAAATATGACGAACAGGTCTGCATAAAGCCTGAGTTTGAGGTGAAGTGAAAATAAATGCTTCTAACGAGAAAACTAAACGTGTGAACCCAAGCAGAAAGCAAATTTAAGTACCACGAACGAACGCCCAGCCTGACTTCCAGCACAGTGGGGCAATTATCACACAGAGAGAGCCGTGTGGGACGCACCAAGTTGCCAGCCTTTACTTTCCCTTTCCCCTCAAACGCGTTTATCCAACAGCAGAGAGAGGCCCTACGGGACCGCGCACAAAGGGGGGCACCCCCTCCCCTCCCTCCCGCAGCAGAAGCTGCCCCCGGGGCCGCCGGCGCCCGGTCGGAGCCAACGAGGCCATTTCGTAAGCACGGGGTGTTTTTCTCCCCGCTCAACTCGCACATACGAGTCTTTCAAGTTAGTTTCTATACAAGGGAGAGCTGGCCCGCTCCTCTCCCCACGCGAGGGGACCGCGAGAGCTCCGCGGCCGTTCCGCTCGGGTGGGGCGCGCCGCGGCCGGAGCTCGGCCCCCCCCCCCCCCCCCCCCCCCCCCCCCCCCCATCGCCGGAGGACGGGAGCAAAGGGAAAATCAACTAATAATAAAAACGCTGCGGAGGGAGCGCTGAGAGCCGGGACCCGCGGCGCAGGCAGCGGCCGGGGCGGGGAGAGCCCGCACTTCCCCTTTGTTTGGGGCGCACCGGGAGAGCGGAGCAGAGCAGGCCCGGCGCTGCCCACGCCGCCGCGAGGGGCCCGGCTCGGGGAGGGACGGGCCGGGCGGGGCGCGTACCTTCGTCCAGCAGCCGCTCGAGGTGGTTGAAGATCCCACAGAAGTTGGGAAGGCTGCTCATCAGCTTCTTGTCGTTCATCAGCTGCATCAAGTAATCGGGGCTCGGCTTCGGCTTCTCCTTGGCTTCCATTTCCCCAACCATATTCCAAGCCCGCGCGCACAGGGCGAGCGCCCGCAGCAGCTCCGCCGAGCGAGGCGACGGCGGCACGGGGCGCCCGGCGGGATCGGGCGGGCCGGCGGGGGAGGGGCGGGGCGGGGAGGGAGCTCCCCGAGGAAGGAGGAGGAGGAGGAGGAGGAGGATTCCGAGCTGCGAGCGTCGCGCTCCCGAGTCCGAGGGGCCGACGAGGAACGGGAAAAAAGGAAAGTCAGAGAGACCCCGCTGCGGGCGCGCCCTCCGCCCCGGCCGCGCGGAGTCGCCGCCGCCGCCGCCTCTCGGGGCCGCCGCTCCCCGCTCCGCGCGCCCTCGGCCGGTGCAGTCCCGGCCGCTTCCCCCTTCTGCTGCCGCTGCCGCTCCTCCCGCGCCGAGCCCGGCTCCGCTCCGCGGCGCTGCCCCCGGCTCCGCGGCGGGGGAAGGGAGGGAGGGAGGCGGGGAGGGGACGAGCGGGGCGGGCGGGCGCTGGCGCTGCCAAGGAGCCGCCGCCGCCGCCGCCGCCGGGCTCTCTCCGCCGGTGCCGCTGTTGTCGCCGCCGCGCTGCGCCGGGCGCGTCCTCCTCCTCTGCGCCTGCCGCCCGCCCGCCCTCCCGCCGCCGCCGCCGCCGCCGCCGCCTGTGGCTGTGAGCGTCAGCCCCGCCGCCGCCTCCTCACTTCTCCTCAGTTCGCTCTGGAGTTCGCTTCAGTTCAGGCTGCGCTGGCAGCAGCGGCAGCGGCGGCAGGAGGAGGGGAGGGGGCAGGGCCCGCGGGGGCGGGGACATGTCGGGGGCGGGACGTCGGGCGGGGCGGCCGTTACGCGGCGGCAGCAGCGCCGCTTGGCGGAGCCAACCGCTGCCCGCCGCCAGCTGCCCGCGCCCGGCGAGGCCGGGGGGGCGGGGCCGTCCTCGGCCACTCCCTCTCAGATCCCGCGCGCAGCGCGGTCCCGTCGGCTCGCCCCGTGGAAGCACGCGCGCACGGAACTCTTCCAAACAAAGTCGCGACGCTGCGCCCGCTCCGCCGGCGGGGAGGGGCGGAGTCGCGCCGTGTCACGTGCACCCCAGGGCGGGGAGAGCCCCGGCGCCACGCGCCTGCGCCCGGCGTTTACAACCGCGCTTCGCGACGCCGCCGTCTCGCGCTGCGAGAGGAGTAGACGGAGCTGCGGCGGGAGGTGTTCGGTCGCGCCGCGCATGCGCTGCCGTAGGGGGCGGGGGAGGGGCGGTGCGCGCGGAAGCGCGGCGCGAGGAACGGTTTGTAATCGTTAAAGCCGCCGCGGGGCTGGAACGGGGAGCGGCGCGGGCTGAGGTACGGGACGGCGCGGGGGAACTCTCGGCCTCGGGGAAAGGGCGTGGAGAAGGGGCTGCAGCGAGCCACCCTCCTCTCCGGCTCCTGAGCCGGGCCGCCGTCCTCATGCTGTTGTGAGCCGTTTAATGTCCGCCTGCGGCGTCGGGGGCCGCAGAGGGATTCCGGCCGTGTCCGCCTCCAGCGGGGGTGACTGGCTGGCGGGCAGCGCGGCGGGATGCGGGGCTCTGCGCGCGCCGCTTCCCTGTGCGGTCGGCGTTGAGGCGATGTGCAGGAAGCGGTCGTAAAGCGCAGTAAAAATCGCTTCACGTTTCGATTTAGCTGGCTGAAAACAGTCGGTTCTGCTAGGAGAGTAAAAGCGGAGGTACCGCTCGGAACTCCCAAGAATTCGTCTTTGTTTCCATACGTGCTGCGCTTGGAAGACGATTAAAGCGCTGGGTTAAGTCAGGGTGAATAGCGCTTCCAGCACCAAAAGCACCACCGCGATGCCTCCCTAGCTGGTGTGCGGCGTTACTGCGTGTTGCCGAGCAGCTATCCTGCGTGTCCCGAGACAGAGCGTTGGAGAAAACGTAGAGACAGTGCAGTTCCCTTCGTAGTAAGAATGCCCTCGGTGTCTGCCGTCCTTCCAGCGTCTGTTGGATCGTTCTCATTTAAACACGTAGAACTCTTTATCTAGACACAATAATTTGTATTTCACTTCCGCGTTTGGTTTGTGTAAAGTAAAATTTAATGGTTTACGTAAGATAAGACTTTTATTGCTTCCATCATTTTTTTTTTATCGCCTTTATTATCAAAGAGAGCAGCGACTTTGTGGACTGCTGTTTTGCTTAGCTTTCTTTAAACGCGGGTTGCTGGTCCTTCTGTTGCATGCCCAGAGCACGCTACAGCATGGCTATGGATGATGGCACAGTGCTGCTTCTGTGTAGTAACAAGATTGTATTTGCTCCATTCTTGTTTTAAAAGCATGATGACCAAAACCAAACCTTACGCACCGAACTAAACTATCACCCTCTTCTGCTTATTAAGGATCAGCCTGCAGGGTGGTGCGTTTTTGTAGCCGTTTATTTATCTGCTAGTTTTTGACCAGCGAGTGGGAAAACTGCTCACTGAATGCTCTGGCCTCATCATTGTCAGACTGCAGGATGCGTCTTACAATTAGATGAACTTAGATAATGTCAGAATGATTATTCTAGACTACCAGTTCTCACAGTAAAAATAGCATAGGGAAACTTTTTTTCAGAAGATTTGGTACAGCTGTTCCCATGCTGCTTCATTATTGTTTCCTGTACATAAAGTGCTTCCACTGCTTGGATAGGAGCAGATGAAGCAAGCACACACAATATAAGGTAAGAAATACCAACACGAGATGTGCAATAACTATCTGTTGTCTTGCCTACTGAGGACAATACATCTTATACTAAGCCATTTTCCATTTATTTACTGGTGAATAAGATGCTGCACACCAGCAGTTACTGGAATCACTTGTTCATTTCAATGCAAATTCAAGCTCTGCTTTGCTGTGTGTTAATCTGAATTGTTTTCCTAATCTGAACAGTACAAAAATGGAGGCAGAGCTACATGCTGAGGCTGCCTGTGTAATTAAGGATAAATGACTTGGGAAAACCTCTAATCTTTTATTTTGTCATCAGTGCCTCAAGACTGAATTTAAATCATTGGAAAAAATGCCCTTGGAAAACTGAGTGGTGTGACAAAACGTAGATAATGCATCATTAGTTTTAAATAAGTAAATCAGTACGACATCTTTCTTCATCGAGTATCCTGCAAAAACAGAAAATCTACATAAAAGCCTTTCTGCATACCTTGTGTTCTATCTTCCTCCACGTTCCTACACTTCCAGGAAAGGGGGATTAAGAATGCATGAGAGATAAAGGTTGAATTAGTTTTGCTTCAAGAGCTATGTGAAGGTGTAGCTCCCAAGAAGACTGGCCTGCCTGCAACCTGATCTATGGAGGAATCAGAAATACTCCTGCTTTGGATTGAACTTTGGAGTTTTCCCGGGGGGGGAAGAAATATGGAGGGGGAAGGGAATGGCTGGATAAATGGGATTGTGGGTTGGTAGGGGCAGGCATATTTTTTGTTGTTTTAGTTTGTTTGTTGGACACTAAACAGGTTCTGTGGCTTTTCAAGGTTCCTCAAGTAACTACATAACTCATTAGTTTCTGTCTGAACACGAGCAGAAGTCCTTATCTTTAACTCTTGCATTTTGTCTAGGTAGTCTTTCTCATGTCATATAAACTGTAGTGTTCTCTGGCAGCTTATTTTTAAAGGTGAAGTTTTATTGCATTAATCTAATCTTGAAATAAGAAAAAATATGATAATGCCAGCAGCAGTCTCTGTCTAGGGCAGTAAAGGCCTTGCACTGATCATAAAAAGTAAATTCAATTACTGCTATAGTGTTCATATCTGATAGCAGATTGGGAAGTAGGAGTATTGAAGGTTGAGGACTACTGGGAAAACATTCTTTTAGTTAAGAAGTTAGACTTAGTCATAGGCGTATACAGTTGGATGTCATCAGCTTTCTGAAATGATTTCTATAACAGGAAGGTAACAACGTGCTATATTACCCTCCTTCAGGAGAGGAAGCAGTTCTTCCCTTACAGTCATCCAAGGAAAAATACTACTCCAGGACTGTTGTTCATTCACAGTGTACAAGGCAGTAGCAGCTGTAACTATGATGCAGCAGATGTGGCCACTACCAGATGGACATCTGAAATTCATTCATCTCTCCAAGGTGACTAAAATATGAACAGAGTAACATCTAGAGCCAGACTGAAAATACAGAGAACATCAACAATATTCAGATTCTGTGATGCCTGACAACTCTTGAAAAGCTATTTCCTTTGACATTAAGCCAAGCTGACAGCTAACTTTTCAAACAGAAACCGTTAGTAGCACATATGTGAGTTTGTTCCAATGAATCACTTCAAGTTCTTTAACGTTTATGCTAAAAACTTACCTGTCTACTCTCTATGCCAGATGTACCTATCTATGGAACTGGATGCTTCATTCTAGTTTGAATGTTTTCCTGACACAGCAGACTTGAAAAGACGCTCTGACTTTGGTTTAAATCCTAGCACAAGCTTCAGATGTTAAGCTCAGTATGTTGAGTCAGAATACATTTTGCATAATCTCTGCACCTAATTTGTGTTCACTGTCAGCACTGAGCATTTGCTGTAGAGTGGAAGATAGAGGTTTTAAGCACACCTTAGTCAGGAAGTAACCTTTTCTTATATTTTCCATAGTGAAGGTACTCTAGGCTGCATAACAGCTGTTCAAGAAGGGTGCACTAACCTGCAGTATCTTTCAGGTTGGAGTAAAGGAGACAAAAGAGGAGAGAAATCCTTGTGTTCATTGCAATTATGCAGTAATAGAAAGAGCTGCATTTTCCCTATTCTGGTGACTGTCAATTAATTATTCAATCTTTAAGTTTGGGAGAATTTGAAAATGCTAAAGTGAACCAAAAAAAAAAATCTCTAAATCTGATCAGTTTTCCTGGTAAGGTAAACTTGAGTTTGCTTGAGTTGCTGCAGGATAGGATAGGTTGGCTTAAATTCTGTTTTGTAAAGTATTATTTATTTTATTTAACTCAATAGTTAGTGAAGGGCTGGCTATCCCTGTGTTTGGCTTCACTGTGAGTACCAAATAGTCATGGTTACACATGACAAACACCAGTGCATCATAGGGTGTGTTGCATCAGTGTTACCATAGATCACCAGTTACATTTTCCTTTCAGTAGATAATTTCCACTAATATGTAGTGCCTGCATATATTGCTTCTTTATGTCCCGATTGACTTTTCTTCAGAAAAGATGAAAGTTCTAGTACTGAGCAAAGATATCTGTACCTAGAGAGGGTGGTAGTTCTACCAGGCTCCTGAGAAACCTCTATAGTGAACTAGAATCTTCTAGAGAACTAAGGTTTGTAGTGGCTTCATTTCATGCTTGTCAGTGCAAGATGAAAATGGTGTTTTTCATATACTGCTTTTAGTGTAGCGTTGCTAAGAAAGGAAGAAAACAGGAAGAGAGAAAGAAAGAAATCTCAGAAAGCATAGAAAAAAATATTACCAACAGTTATGTAGAGAAGACAAAATTGAGATATATTGAACATAAAATTCACCTACTTTGTTTCTTGTTCTTTACAGCATTTAGATTTAAAAGCCACAGGGAAAAATCCAATTTTCACAGAATATATTTGAATCATACGCATTTAAAAAGTATTTTTTTCCTCTAACCTGTTAAACTTCCCTCTATCTTCTAACTTGCAAACACATGCACTGTTTTGTGCATTTTGCTGTTTGGGTAATCATTATTCTTACTTGTTCATTAAAAGAAAAAGAATGTCTTGAAATACAGCATGCATACTTCTAATGTTTCCAGTCCCATCTGCACTACTATAGATTTAGTCAGAGTGGTAGATATTCTGTTTTCCATCTGTAAAGTCACAGGTACTACAGTAGCTATACAACTGCAGGTTTCAGTAGGGGAGAATTTCAAATGGTTTCTGGTTTGTCTCTTCTGGAGAACTCGCATATGAAAACAACACGTAGCCTGCCTGTGCCATGGATTACACAAATGAGAGCAGTGGTGATTATGTGCTGCCTAACTCTGGGGAGGCTCTGAGAGGACTGTTGCTGATTGTCTGCCCAGTTAATACATGCTCAAGTTAAGACTACAAAAGTAAGACATGTAGAAATTCAGAGTGTTGAGATGTCTTAGCCATTATTTGTTTCATACATGCCAGTTTTATTATTTGATTTATGTTAGCTATCTACTTTAAACCTATCCAGAATATTGTTCTGCATTTAATTAAGTGAAGTCAGCTACTTAAAAATAGTGCCACCAGCAGTTTTTTTATTCACTATGTATAACTAAAAATACAATGTTCAAAGACATTTCCATTTAAGTTACATAATAAAAAAGTATTTTTATTTTCCACAGTGGAGTATTTTCACACTTTCTATAGAATTAAAAAGTAAATTAGCATATTTATTTTGGCAACAACAGTAGGAAAGAGCTGTCAATTCTGTCAACAAGAAACCAAATAAGTCTTCTGCTTTTGAGGTGTCGCATGTTTTGGTAAAACGCCATACTATGTTGGTTATTGTTGAATATAAATGAAGTGCTTTCAGCCATAACTTTGTAAATAGATTTAAATTAACCATTCATCTGAATTACTACTAAAAGCAAGTAGAGCTTAAAATGCAACTGGTACATTAATTCAATTTTTCCTTTTATGTCTGAAATGTGAACATATAAGTGTATTGACTTATACTGAAGCATTGCTGGCGTTGCTTATGCTTCTTAACATTCAGTACACAGAAAGTAGCAGTACTTACCCAAGGAGCTTGTTTTTAACTGGACAGAAAACATCAATATGAATTACAATGATACACTGCACTTTAAACTGGCTGGTAACGAACAAGAATCATTTGTATTGGCTGAACTTTCTAATAAAATATAATCAAACAAATTGGACAGATCCAGAATCTTTTTTTTCCCACTCAATGTTTTATATATCCCAGATCTTTGCTATTTATTAAATCTTTATTATATGCAAATACTTTGTTGTTTACGTAATGGTGCCAAATTAAGAGACGCACCTGAAGTGAAGAAAGAAGGGGAGCAGGCAGTATGAATCTTACATGCTTTAACAGCATTCCTCCAAAGTAAGGGACAGAGTGCAGTTCTACAGCATCATTGATTTCTCATGCAAGGCAGTTATCCTTCCAT